GCAGGAATGGGCAAGCAAAACGCAACAATGGCCATGGATTGAACAAACACATAAAAGCGAAGGGAAAGAAGTGCAAAGACGAGCAAAAGCGGATGGATGGTAAGCGGTGGCATTGATGGCGGAGGTGGTTATGGTGGCGCAATTGGATGAGAAAAAAACAACAAACAAAAATGGGAGGGAAGAAACGAAAGAAAATCAGAAGAGAAAAAAGATGGAAGAAATACAAGCAAAGCCACAACAAAAGAAATAAAAACACTAAGAAACATAAAAGAGGAAGACATCCAACCCTTTTTGGTCTATATTTTAATTTTTTTATTGTAACACAAAATAACACATTTACAGGACATAACACAGAGGATGAAACAACAGACATTAACAAAGGAGACAAAGGGATTACTAAATTAAGTTGTGTGTGTGACAGTGTGTAGTGTGGGTGTATCCAACTCTATGCAGACTGATATTCAGTACACATTAAAGAAAAATAAAATGAAACTAAAAAATTAAGAAATTCGGGGGAGGGGAGGTAAATGTAAAAAAAGGGGGGGAGTAGGTCATATTTTCTGTTAATCTAGTTTGATTGATAGGTGTGATATACTTACGAATGCAGCATGGACAATGAGGACTAACAACAAGAGTACCAATAATGAACTAAAAGGAGCTGGTTATACTTTGTTTGTGGGAATATGCCTATATAAGTTCCCCTCTTCTCTACCTGTTCCCCACCACACATTCCTTTTCCCGTTTTTCCTTCTTTCTTTTCACTTGTTCTCGTTACCTTGCACACCGAGTGTGTACTCTCCCTGGCTTTTTCCGATGCTGTTGTGGGCGTGGCAGAGGTAGATGCCGTTATCTGATTTGTTGAGCATCTCGAAGTGCAAAAAAGCACCATCTTCTTTGGACAGTGGGGGGAGCTCTCCATCCTTCTTCTCCCAAGTGTAGGTGGGCCTGAAACAGGAGAGAAAAGGAGTGACAGAAAGAGTGAGAGTCCTGGTTTGAACTGTACGAGTAAAAAGTAAAAAAAAGAGGGGTGAAGTGATGAGGAGAAGGGATCTCTGACAAGTGAAGTGATGAGGAGAAGGGGTCGCTGACAAGCGCTGCAGTAGAAAGAAAAAGGTGAAATGATCAAGACTGACAGAGAAAGGAAAAAGAAAAAAATGGATGAAGGAGAGGGGAGGCTGGGAGGAATGAAGACAGAAAAAACAGAAATTAAAGGGGATCAAATAAAGAGAAAGATGGATGTTACAGTAAAAACAAAGAAGGGACTGAGGCAGAAGGAGAAGATGAATGATTAAAAAACAGAGCGGGGCGAGAACTGTTGCAGACAGTCAGTAAAATAACAGCAGAAAATGATGGAAAGAAGGATGAGGTTGGGAGGAATGCCACAGCTCCAAGAAGAAAAGAGATTAAAAGAAATGAAGACAACAGAACAAAGATCAGCATTTCAAATCAGCCTATGCTAAAAAATCCATTCTACATAACAGATTGTGTATGAGAGAGATAGCAAGACATGCCTTGATAAAAGAATCAATTATGTAAATGTGCAAGTCCTTAAGCGCTGTACAGTAATTACAATGATGGCAAGTCTGAATCGGGGACAGAACTGAATGTGCCGATCTGATTAATCGCTCGCTGAAATATGGAAAAACCCTCAGCGACACCTGAAGGTGCAATCTGTGGATTCACAACAACGGCCAGGTGGGGATTTGTACAGTAACTGTAAGGCTGAAAAAATACAGCTCTAAGACCGGGCTCCTTCAGACCCATATTTTAAAATCTAGCTAGATGATTCTGGGAAGCAAAACCTAAAGCTCTGCTTTTGCTGCTGGGCAAAATTCTTTAAGTGACTGAAAGCTAATAAGAAACATCGTCTAATCCCTCGACACCTGCTGCTGAGCAAACACTCGGGAACCTGTGGACATACTGGGAATTTTTAAATATGCGTCAGTTCGGGAATATAAATCCTAACAGTGCTAAAAAACAGAGCTCTTCTGTTCAATTAGCTGCACTGAGGCAAATAAAAGAAGATTATTCAACCATAAAGTGTTTAAAACAAGTGTTTCCTGACCATGTTTGGCTACACTGCAATAAAATATAACCAGCTATTGTATTACACCGCCTCCAAATGCTTCATAATATGCAATTAACTGAACAATTAACTTCACATTTACAGGCTGTAACTTGTGTAGTGTTATTAAACATAATGCTCAAAAGTCAATCTCTGTTATACAGCTGATTGTTTAAGTGCAGAAAGCTGACTGGTTGAACCACGGTGATAAATCCCATCATGCATGTCTAGAATGTGGCTCATTCTTGGCTATGACTTCTGCTTAGGTGGACACTTCTCATTTAGCTCACATGCATTACTAAACACAAAAGTCACAATACGCTTGAAGCCATTTTTCATTGCAATTATGACTAATTTGGTGCTGCACATTTCTCTCTCTAGCATCTGTAATCAGTCATGTTAAGGAATGAGCTTTTGTTAAATTATTATCATAAAATTTGTAAAGTAATGCAAATGTCTAAAACACTTATCTGTCATCTGATCCACATTTTTACAGTTAGCCTGGTGTTATTTTTTATTCTTCTTATTCTCAACAAATCCCTGCATTAGACCAACTCTCATTACAACAGCAGGAGATAAACAAGACTGGCCATCTAACAAGAAACACGGCACCCGGTGCAGCCATGTGGTTCACTGGTGTGTGTTTAATAGTTTCTGGACAACACCTGAGCCTCTGTGGCACAGAGTTATACACTTATCATGCCTTAGTCGCACAAGTCCTACTTGTTAGCAGGATCAATTCATTGTTTGTTTCGGTCTTTTCATGGGATTTGTGAAGTAAGAATGTCCATATGGTCGGCCTTATCCTTTAACAGACTCCTGTTACATGTCACCGGCTGTTTTCTAACCACGGCCGACCTCGCACATTTAAGGAAGCTTGCACGCAGTAAGACAAAATTATATAAGGCTTTTAAGCTGTAAATGAGTTGAGTGAACAGTCTTTGGGAGTTTAACTTGGTTACCTCAAGAACAGAAATGTGATGCGATTGCGAGCACTCCCCAGTCGTGCTGATCGAATAAATGAGAAACATAATAGAATGTAGAGTATGAAATCCTCTCTCGGGTAACAGAAAGCTGCTGCTGCCAGGCGTCAAGGAAACCCAGTATAGAACTTGATACAGTAAGTTATTCTTATAAGCCTGACAGGATGCAACCACGGAGAATATAGTGTGTATCATGGAGTGGAGTGTGATGTTCATTGAGTTTGAATGGGGGGCAGCTCCAGAGGGGGAGACGGAGCTGAGTGGCCGGGTGTGTCAGAGGGAAGGCGTTGTCACGGTGATTAGGTTTTGACTGACAGCTGCAGGGGCAACCTGTATCTGATTTGACTGGACACTAGCTGATCCACAAGCAGTGGTGCACATAGCTGAGCACACTCCTTTCTCTTGTTTGCTCTGTTACTCATTCGCTGCTTGTCACCAAATCTTTGTCTCCCTTCCACCCACGTTTTTCTCCCCTTCCCTCTACCTCTTGCTCTCTTGTCAGTTTGTTTTCCTCGCGCTGACATTTTTTTTGCGTGGGCCTTGCAGTTTCTCTCTTCTCCTCTTCTATAGCCTTGATTATTTACATGCAGCCTCTGCCACTCACACAGACACTATTATCTACAGCCTCTTTATGTAGTATGGGTTAAGTACATTTTTAGGATGAATGATCCCAGTGAGTGCTGAACCATGAACTCCTGCAACATCAGGGCCATTCTGAACTGCATGGAACCATTTATTACCATAATATGGCTACTTCTTATAGAGAACGTGAGCTAATGGATGCTGTCATCCACTGTGTCTAATTGTAACACGTGTAATACATAGGTATTCCCTGTGGGAAGCTGTAACAGAGGCACACTCCCCATGCCTTGCTTTTCTTCATTCTATAATTTATGGACTCTTGCTGTGTGTTAAAACATGTACTGTACATGTGACGACAGTCGCCTCCTCCTCCCCCGCCCTCTATCTGTTCCTCCTGCCAATCAAAATAACTGGCTGGTCTTATTCCTAGTCACTCCTGTGATGAGCTGAAGAGGGGGGATGAGGGGAGAGGGGAGAAAGGAGGGGGTGCCACGAGAGCAGAGTGGGAGGAAGAGGAGGAGGGACGGGGATTTCAGAAGGAAAAGGTGTGAGGATAGATAGAGCGCAGCTATAGGAAAGGACGGGGAGAAGGAGAGGAGGAATGACAAGACGGAGAGGAGTGAACGAGCTGTGAGTGACACATCGGTGCACAGAGACGCCCGATGATGGAGGTATGGAGCGAGGCAGGGGGAGGAGAGTGGATCGATAGGGCTGGTTGGCTAGAGGTTCATCTATAATGCAGAAAGGCCAGGGGAAAGAGAGTATTTGTGTGGGCAGGATTTAAGACATGGTTGCACTTTGTTTCTGCGTGTGTGTTTGTGGGTATCAGGAAAACTGTGCACACTGTATCAGTGAAAGCGAGAGCTTGTACGTGCAAGTGTTTTCACTAACTGTGCTTATGTACCTGTCATGTTAGAACAAGTGACTACGTGGAAGAGAACACCTCAGGAAATTGAACATGTTAGTGTGTAACTGCACACAAGTGTTGTTTTGTGTTTATGTACAGACTGTCAGTGCTGCTACCTGCCTGTAGGTGTGTGTGTGTGGTGTGTGTGTGTGTGTGTGTGTGTGTGTGTTTGTGCGTTTTTAAGGAATTTTTTGTTTTAAGGTTGCGGACCTGTTGTGTAACTTGACACCTTTTCAGTAACTAAATGTATATATGTGTCTGCTTCTTCTGTGCTGTCTAAAATCTGCAGAGACCCTCTGTGTGACCAGAGAGAAAGCTGTGATTAGAGTAAGAGCCAAGGTTTCTCTCAGTGCATGTTTTAGTAGGAGAAAAACAGGCCAACTTGCTGGAGGAGGAAGCATTTATTTGAGTGATGCTGTGTTCTGTCTGTGGAGTCATCAAGGTCATGGCATATCCAATGCGGTAAAGCTGGAGACTCGATTTTTTTTTTTTTTTTTTTTCCCTCAAGCCAGTCCAGTCACCAGTTTTATCACGTTGGAGATGTTTGGTTATGAATATACAGTCTAACCAAAACTGTCCTCACCAGAAAAATGCTGGAAAACATTTACTGGTTCACAAGTTGTGACTTCTTCAGCGCCCTGACAATAAGGCAGGAGCACCGTGGTGTTGGTGCTTCCCACCATCAGTGCTGGTTTCTTCTAACCATGACAACTGTCCTTCTCTAAACCTACAGTAACCAAGTAGTGAGAGAGTTGTTTAAACTTAACAAAACCTTAGCCATAGAGGTGACAGATCAGAAAAATTGAAAACGTTTTGTCAGTGATGGTCCATTTGTTGGTAAACCCTTCAGTGAAGCAGATTTGAGAACTGTATTTAGAGGTTGTGGCTGTACCGGTGTTAATTTTGTTAAGACAAAAAATATTCATTGATGAAACTAAAACTAAATAAAAAGTAACATTTGAAAACAAGACAAAATGTTTTACATATTTCATCAATGAATAAAAAGTAAAGGATAATGTGAAAGTCATGAAGCAACAACCTGCCACATCTGTGGTGCTGATCAGTAAAAGCGTTTCCTCCACCAGCCAAAATATCTCCTCTTCAGGAGTTCAATTAGCTGCTTGATGTGTTTCACTACCGTCTCACATTCAGTAACGTTCTGTCTTTGGTCTTAGTGCTTCCTGGAAGAAACAGGTTTATGAATCATGTTCATCCAGTCCAGAGACCCGCTGGGTCACACCAGGGAAATGCAGCAGCATGGCGTATGAAACGGGACGATGATTTAACGTGAAACGCTGTAGATGTAGATGTAACAGTAACGTTCCTTTCAGTCAGATATCTTTTGTGTTGCTATCAGTCGGGTCCAGGATTAATATGGACAGTCAACCATAAATCATCTTGTTCGCTGCAGAGATCTCACTGTTTTAATGTTATCTGAAGATTTAGCGTCACCCCTCAGGCTGAACCCAGTGAAGAAGATTTTAGTACAAATGTGAGCGAGTCCAACTTCTGCAGAGCAGAGGGACACTCTGTGAATAAAACAGCTTTCCACAAACCTCACAAAAGACAGGAACATTGTGTAATGGTACACAACCAGGATGAAGAAGATATAGCCTACAGTAAATATTAAAAAGGCTGCTTAAAAATGGTGAAAACCTGAATAAAATGTATTCAGTTTTTATTGATTAAAACTAGACTGAAACTAACAAAAAATCAAAAGACTAAAAACTGACTAAAACTAAGATGCATTTTCATCAAAAGACTGAGACGAAATCAAATTCAGGCGTCAAAATTAACACTGCATAATACACCACATGAACCCTGTTTGTACTGGTTGGTTCTTGCATATAAAACATCTATTTTTATGTCTTCTAAGCTGAGATTCCTGTCAAATCTGAGCATTTATTCCCTAATTTCGCTATTTACTGGCACAGACAGGGAAACCTTGGTTACACTGCAAACTGCCTGAAAATGGTACAACATGGCCAAGGTTTATAAAGGATATTGTTTGGAAATAATGCTGTGATCCAGTCACTTATAGTTATATGAAACAAAACAGTAGTCATGTCTTTGTGAATGTGATTAAGTCCAGGGTTTGTAATTGTGTATGTGTGAAGGTGTGCACATGGTGTCTAGTATATACATGCATATGGACAGGCGTGGTGTGAGTCAGGGATGTCTTACTCGGGGTTGCCGTTGCCCAAACACTGAAGGTAAAACTTCTCTCCCTCTCTGGGCAGGTTGCTCTCGGCACGGATGTCCACATTAGGGGAATCTGTATGTGGACGACAAAACACACACAAATACACACACAGACACAGTGTAATTACACAACACAGGACTCATAACCATACAGCCATGCACAAGGCGCCGACAGCCTCATTCCCCCGTCTCCATCTATTCCCATTGGCAGCCTGTAGGCGTCACCATCTCTCTGCCTCTGACAATGACATAACCCCTTACACAACATTGTTTTCCCTCAGCAGTGCAGTGCAGGCAACACCCACAGGGTGGCAGCACCGACACAGAGTCCAGTGTGGCTCCCTTTATAGTTTCATTTAAGATGATAACCTGCTGTTCTTATCCACTGTGACTCAACTCTGGGCAAGTGCACCGGCAGAGGAAGGTTAAATTCCTCTGTGGTCATTGTTACTGGTGGCTACTGTGAAATTACTGGTGCAGAGGTCAAACTACAGGAAGGAAGGAAGAAATGTGCCTATAATGCTCAACAGAAGAGAAGAACAATGCAGGAATAATATCCAGGGCAAACTGAGGTGTTACTTTACACTTCCTTCTTACATCTATCTGTCTGTCCTCTATTCTCCCTCTTGTCCCCCAGCATCCTCTCTGTTTCACCGCTCTCACCACTTCCCTCCATTTCCCAGTCGACTCACACAACACCCGCAGAGCCTGCTCACTCCTCTTTTCCCCGTGGGTGAGAGAGGGATGGTGGACAGCGCAGGTGATGAAGGCGTTGTTGTCGCTGCGGCTCACGTTGAGGGTGAGCTCCCTGCTCACATTGTACGTAGGGCTGTCTGGAATGGACTCCACCACTTCTGGATGCCCTGAGGTGAAGAGGGACAAGAAGGGTGGGGGGGGGGATGGTCAAGAGGAAGGTGTTTGCATCTTAACAAGGGACTGGCACAATACAGATAAAAAATAATACACACTACACAATAGCTGTGAGACAGAAAAAGTGGTGGTTTCATCTTGTAGAACTGTAGAGAACTGCAATGTCTCCCATTTGTTCCCACTGGATGAAAATGTGTTTTGTGTGCACTTGCCTTGTGCCCCTGGGGATTTTATGTTTGCCATTTATTATTATATGCCACATATACTGTCCGACAACACATTTCCACACATTTTTATAGCAATACCAAACCTTTTATATCCCTGAAAGAGTCTGTTTTTTCTGCTGACTCATTCTGTGATGTATTCATTCTCTCTATCCAACAAAACTTTCCATCATATAGCATCTGAAACTCCATCTAGGACATTCAGAAGTAACTGAATCTGATCTGTCCAGTAGCCAGTCAACAGAAAAATAATCAGCAATTTCTATTACAGATCAACGTTTGAAGTCCTTAATCAAGCTAAACTGCCAGTTTCTCAAATGTGAGGATTTGCTGCATTTCTCTGTCACTGTACATTGAATACAGAGGTGGAGAGTTACTAAGTACATTTACGGCATGGTGTTACAGTGGTTGGTGCTGTCACCTCACAGCAAGAACGCTCCAGGTTTGAAACCCGGCGCCTTTCTGCGTGGAGTTTGCATGTTCTTCCTGTGCCTACGTGGGTTCTCTCCGGTACTCCGGCTTCCTCCCACAGTCCAAAGACATGCAGTTTTGGTTAGGAGTGTGTGTGGTTGTCTGTCTCTAAGTGTCAGCCCTGTGATAGACTGGCGACCTGACCTGGGTGGACCCTGCCTCTCCCCCAGTGTCAGCTGGGATTTGTTCCAGCCCCCTGTGACCCTTGTCAGGATAAGCGGTATCGATAACGGATGCATGGAATACAGTATCAAAAAGACTTTCATGATCCCCGGTGGTAAATTCACAAGCTACCCAGCAGTATGTGAAGTACTTCAACTTATAGGCATATAAGGCAGTTAAAATCAGCTCCGCCGTTACTAGCTGCAACACTAAATGTGATGTAACAGAGTATTTTGACACTGTGGTATTGCTACGTTTACTTAAATAAACAAACAGAGTAGTTTTTCCACCACTGACTGAATACCTTTGGGGTACCGGTGTCAGCTGGCATTGGCTCCAGCACCCCCACGACCCTTGTTAGGATAAGTGGTATAGATAATGTATGGATGGATGATTGTACATTCTGCTGCAACATCCTTGTTCATGAGGAGACATAAAAAGTTATTTCACGGGAGCCTCAAAGCTACAAAATTCACTCTTGCGTGTTGGCAGCTCCAAATAGCGGCGAGAGTTAACTGACAATTTTAGCTCCCTTCAGTGCCTACAACCTCAGTAATGTAACATCAGTAGGCCACACAGAGCACACTCATGTTTACTAACCAGGCCAGGCTGTGATGTTTCATGCTGAAGGACACCAAAGGGATGCAAGAGGCTAAAGATCCAATGCAGCTAAGTCCAACGTTCTTTGGAGTCCCTTGCTCACTGTTGCTTAGGAGACAGCTTGCATTTCAGATGATGTGCTACCTACAGATAGAATTTATTCTGACAAGTAAACCATCTTAACTGCAATCTGTTGCTGCCATACTTTGCTATTTAAAGCAGTAGAACAGGTCTGTTTTTATAGTGTAAGATTTAAGTATTAACATGCACAGATTTTCATATAGACACTTTTCCCTTTGTGGCTGTTTCCATTTCTTTCCATTATTTTAAATTTCTGGCAGCAGCCATGGCAGCCTGTGCAGAATAAAAAGAGGAAAAAGAAATGCTGGGAAGGTGTAAGTGGGCCTGAGCAGTAGCACTACAGTTAGACAAAGTATGAAAGCATAAACACAGTGAAGACTATCATCCAGAGCTCCTACTCTATTGTAGGTAAAACACATCAAACCGGGTGGTCAGACCGTGAAAGTGGTTGGTGAATCTGTGAATCTTGTGGACCAGAACCTTATCAGATCCTCTTGCATGGACCAGCACACACACACACACACACACACACACACGAGCATAAGTGCATGTAGGTCAAGCTTATGAATAACATACACACAGAAGAGACAGAGACACTGGGAGGGACGTAGACTGGAACACACACATTGTTCCTCTGTCTCAGTCTTTCGCTCTCTCACTGAGATATTACAGACACACAGATATTATCGACACCTCCTCCCCCACCTCCAGAGATCTTCAAATACCACTGAATCTAATGACATCTCTCTTTTTATTACCATAACCAGTCCTCTGACCTGCAGAGAAAATTAGTTTACTTTCCAGGTGCATTTCAATAATCCTACGCCAGTCAAAGGAGTTTTTCGTCACTGTCTGTCTGTCTCTCTCTCTCTCTCTCTCTCTCTCTCTCTCTCTCTCTGCACACTCTATATAGCCTTTATTAAATACCATGGTTCTCCAAAGTCAGACTTGAATGAAGAGATCCTCTTTGTTGACTCACTGACTCCTGTGTACAGTATTTTTGAAACCACACAGTTGAGTTTTAATAAGGTTTTCAGGCCCGAGGGGTCACGGAACTGACTCAACACATTTGTTAAGGAAAAAATAAGATGCAGTCAGTTTAAGTGGTTTTTCCCAAGGCAGCAGTGATGCACATTTACCCATAATTCACATTTCCTCAGTTCATTATTAGATAATCAGGGTAGATTTGCGCGTCAGCTGCTATAAGTGAAGGAACAAGCAAATCGAACTGGAAAGCAGTAACAGTTTGTGTTACACTAAATTACATAGCAGTTAAAAAAATTCTGCCTCCTGAAGGGTCAATATAGTCAAATTACAAAGCTATATACTTATTTTATACAAGCAGATATTTCTCGTTTTTTCTTTTACAGGGTTTTGACATATTTCACTCTACAATGGAGCTAAGTGGAATCTCAGCTGTGTTGTGTGAGAGTTCAGCACTGACAGAAACAGTCTCCTTATTATTCTGGAAGGTTTTTATATTGTTTGCTCCAATGGAAACGGTTCCCCATGTATTTTTGTAGACTATCCAGAGTAAACAGGATGTTGTTTCTGGAAACAGAGGTTGTAGTTGATTTTTTTAAAATATAATTTTTGAACACTGTGAGCATCAAAAACAAAATATCACTGTGGTGGGCACAAATCTGGGAGAAGTCTTGAAGCCTAGACAAATGCACTGACTGCAAGGCCAGATGTATTTTGGGTGAACTGACCCTTCAAGTGTTTTGAAGCAAATTTTCCATTATTTTGTATTAACAGTGGCTTCAGTACGAAAAGGATCACTGTCACTGGTAGAACCATCAGAAAAAAAAAACCTGGGTGTCATAATGGATAGCAAATATAAAATGGATAAACAAAGTAATTCTCTGGTCAGAGCGAACTGTTTACTGTAGGTCTTTTCCTTTCTTGACATGATTTTGAAAAGGTCATCCACTTTTTTATTTCAAATTGTTTGGACTACGCTCATGCACTTTATACTGGGGTCTGCCAGTCCTCACTAAACCGCCTCCAACTTGTCCAAAATGCTGCTGCTCGTTCGTTAACTGGTACTGGTCAAAGAGAAAGTATTATGCCTGTGTTGGTGTCCCTCTGCTGGTTACCTGTTCATTTCAGAATCCAGTTTAAAATCTTGTTGATGGCTTTTAAAGCACTTGATGAGTTAGCTCCGCTATATCTCTCTGACCCTTTAAAGCTCTACTGTCCTCCCGGACCTCTCAGATCTACTGATCGCTTGCTTTGGCTGATCCTTTTACCATACTTAAAAGTCGAGGTGACCGTGGTTTGGCAATTACAGCCCCAAAACTCTGGAATGAGCTGCCTTTACATATTAGATCAGCTCCACTGGTTATGATCTTTAAATCTCAATTTAAAACATTTCACTGTGCTAAGGCATTCGGCTCAGTTTAAATTAAATTTTCTTTCTTTTCCAGTATTTCCTCCTAATATAGTTTTGGACAGCTTTAGATAGGCTACTGTATTTTTAGACTGCCTACCGTTTTATGTTTTTAAATTTCCCTTTCCATGTACATATATTCTTCTAAACAGACCTATAGTTTTAGTGTTTGCTTTGTTATTTTCTGTATTGTGTTGTTATATTATTCTGTCATAGTGTCATAGTTATCTTGTAAAGCACTTTTGTCAACTGTTGTTGTTTTTAAATGCGTTATATAAATAAACTGACAATGGTTTTGGCATTGGCCTGTCTCTGGCTCTGCAGAGCTTTTCATTGTTTTGGTTTCCCAGCATGCAACTGGACCAATCTGGTTCCCTCTCACCACTCCTGGAGCATTAATTGACAAACCTGCTGTATGCTACTGCTCCAACAGCAAACAGCAGACAAAGTTAGAGATAAGCTGGCTGAGCATACCGGAGCATTTAAATTTCCATCAGGAGTTAGTGCTGAACGAGTACAGAGCTAAAAGAAAGCCACCGCTGAACTTACATTATTCAGATGGACACAAATCTGAGTCCAAACCAATGCTGCCTCATATCTGCCAGACATGTGAAGAGGCAAATGTTTTCTCACACCCTTCACATATCAACTTTATGAGCTCATAATATGTAAATGTTGGTTGCAGCTTGTTTGCTCTGAACCCAAGTGGCCAAAACAACCAGTTCATTTATGTTCAATATATGACTTCAGTACAGTGAAGCCAGGTCAGGACTTAACATAGTCATTCATTAGTATTACCAACAATTACAAAAGTTCACAGAAGTTCACAAAAATGCCAAATCATTACAAAAACATGTGCCATTAAAGATCGCAATGACTGATAAATCATTAAAAATAAATATTAATATTCAATTATATTCTTCCAGTATTACCATCCTTCTTTAATATTTAAGCTCAACTATACTCCAGCACCTGTTAAATATTTTATGGTATTCCCAAACATTTTTTTTAATTTATTTATTTTTATAAAACTCCTATTCCTCGAATAAAAAGGTGGGCAGTC